TGCACCACCACGAATCTGAAGGAACACAAGTGGGTGCTTTTTCTGCTAAGTGGGCTCGAATTTTAAAATGGTGCTTTGTCAACCATTTAGTGACCGTCTCCATGGAATTCCACCTAGTGCTCGCCACGTTTGGGCATGTCGACTGCATTTGTGTGACTAGATTTTGCTGTCGTCATAAATGTCCGATGAGACCTGTCAGGGTCGAGTAAAACTTGTCATCCATGGCAATCGAGTACACACGCTGCATCACGAGGTCGAACTGGTGAAGACCACACCAAATTCGGAGAATGCCAGGAGCACAAACGTTTTGTAGCCTTGTAACGAGTCCATTCACCTTTCCAGTCATACTAGACGCTCCGTCACTGGATATAGCAAGTACATAGTCCCTCCAGCTTATAATAGTCGCATCTAAAAAGCGAACCAAAACATCGAACATGTAAGCACCCGTATGGCGCTGGTACAATGGTATCGCCAATAGATGAAAGTTTTGAATATCTGCATCATGTCCAAATCGAACCCGAACATCCAGGTATGACATTCCTAGGTGAGTAGAACCATCAAAAGCCAGCGAAAAGGCCCAAACTTGCTCAAGATGCTGAGAAAGGAGCTACAAGCTCTGAGCACATACCACGCGTGCATAATTTGCTGCCATAATATCCGCGCAACCCCCACATTCACCTAAGCCAGTCTCACGCTTTACACACTCCATTTGTTGTGAAGCTTGACGAAATGTTGAGCCACATGCGATGAACTGAACAAGGAGATTGAATCTACGGCGATTTTTACACGAATAACATAGCCAGCGGTGCTACTAGCTTCTCCAACAGTGCTAGCACCTTTTTCACCAACAGCATCAAAAAGTGCCAACGCTCTTTCATGCGAAATCCCATCCACATCATCCTGGTGGAAAAGTAATTCTCCAATAACGACCTCCACAAGTGACTTCCCGAAGTGGAATTCAACCGAGCCTCCTTCTTGAAAATGTGATTTCATTTTTTTGCTGACTGTGAGCTGGTGCTCTATCGAAAAACGCCTCACGATTTCCATCATTGGATAAACTACTGTACTCTGCCCATTTTATCGGATGATGTCCTTTGTTGTGCGACTCGTAAAGATACGGAAGAAACTTTTGATAAACTTTGTGTCGACTTGAAGCCTTGCGTTGCGCATTCGGCTTGTTGTCCCGCCCAAAGCTTGAACAGAACCTGCAGATGACGCTTGTCACTTTACTACTACCAGGAGCCCGGGCTGAGACTTTTAGCCCGTATTTCACTGCGTGCTTGCTTTTGAATGCTGGTGGTTTGGTTGTCCCCATTGAACAGATTCTGGTAAGCCGTAGACTTCAGGATGGACACTTCAACGGGATAATTGAAGGCGAAGTAGAAGACATCAAATGTAGAAGGAGCTCGTGAGGTTGCTAAATTAGCTTGTGACTATTCGGAAACCAACACGGGGGCGTAGTTGTCACTCAGTATTCAACGGCCACTCAGAGCTTCGTGTTTATTTTTTGCAGTTTCTGGATGCTTAGATTTTTTTAATTTTGAGGGTTTTCCTGCAAAATCTCAATTTTAAGGAGGTCTGGTCATGGGTAATGCCTCAAATACCGGAGAGGCTATTCAGCGTCGGTTAGATGCAGTACCACAAGGTCGCATCACCAGGGACCGCCTCACCGAGGCAGCTGCTTTAGAAGACGATGCTGGTGAGGCAGAATGGGTCTTGCCAACTGGAATTGACTGAAGTGATCAACCTACCTACCAAATGCGAACCATCATGGTAGAGCGCCGAATTGACGGTCACGTGTAGTTCCTCACCTCCTGGGAACCAACATGGGAGCCGGCCACTAACCTTCCTTCAAACGAGCTACGGTCGTTCCGAAGACGCCAGCGCCGCCGTGTAGAGCACGTCTACATTGAAACCGAAGCAGTTGAAGAATAAACAAGTATCAACAGCCTCATAAAACATATA